TATATATTGTTATTTTTTAACTTCATATGAACCCGTTGACTCCACGTGGGTCTGCCCCTGGTTTCACACCATCTTTTAATGAACCGGGCGAACCGGGAGAAATGTGAAGAACAAATCAAAGAAATTACCAATGTGAGTGAAAGGGAAAAAAGTCAAAAACAATGAAAATATTTAGAAATAATGAAACACATGTATGATTAGATGTCATTATGTCTATGAATAGTGCGAGGACATTTCCCCTGCATCTTTATTCCATCAAAGGAAATAATATTAAGGAAGATCAAAACACCTTATGTACTTAATGTGAGATCTTTTCTTTATATTTTCATTTCTTGGTATAGGATTGCTATAGCCACTTGGTGGTCAATAACAATAAATTAGTTGATACGATCAAATGCGTCCAAAATTACTTGTATCTTCAAATACCCTTTATTGCGTTCTGGAAATATCTCATGTACTAACAAAAAAACTTGCTTACACGTCAACATTTCATTGGCTATAGGGTGAAAACTTTATTTTCCTTTATTTCCACATCATAGAATTTTTGGCTAAAAATTTCATTGTTCATGACAGTTTTAAGTTTCACCATCCAAACAAAAAAACAAAAAAGAGCAAAAATCCTCATGCCTTCCAAAATAGAGTTTGGCTCTTTATAAACTTAATTTTAGTTTTATAATTTTTTTTTTTTTTTATATATATAAGAGATTTATTTTTATACGTAAAAAATTTATATTTTATACATAATAATAGATCTAAAAAGATCATTTTCTTAAATTCAAAATTACAAGAAGCATAGTAATAACACCTCTTAACCAGGTGCCGGGTGAGGCGAGGTTTGGGTCCTTGAGGCGCACATCGCACGCGTTTTCCTATTTGCGTGTTAATTAACATTAACAAACTCTGTTAAAAAATAGCTACTGCTCCATTAAGGAAACTAAACACACTTTTTTCCCCTTCCCCTTTCTCTGTTCAAAGAAATCCGCCCGCCTTATCTGTCATCTTCAATACAAATACTAATATTCAATATTTGAATTGTCAGATCTCTTTCTATGTTGAATCAGATCTGAATCATTTCATTTAAATTTCGTGCAATTGGGGGCATCTTGCATTTCACATTGTGCGAATTCCATGCATTCAAATCGTGATAAGGAGGAAATGGACGGTGGAGGAGAAATTGAGGGCGCGGATGAGAATGAGTTCGCACCAGGTAGTAGTAGGGGTGGACGAAAGTACAGTCCAGTGGTGGCGCACGATAATGATCGGGCCGTTTTGGAGATGTCCTCCATTGATCCTCGATCCTCTAGACAAGATCTCAAGTACTACTCTGTCTTTTCTCTCTCAGATTTTAAGTAAATTTATTGTTAATCATGGTGTTCGGATCAGCTTACATTTGTATTACAAATCCATTATGTACTTGTTAGCTCCGGGGTTCTATTGATTTTGTAGTAAAATATAGTTTTTTCGGATAATTTCTGTGATGATGTTAGTTTGTGCGCGTCTAGACTAAGTATCTTGACTAATCAATTGGGTACCGGCTGCATTCCGTCTACATTAGTACCAGATAATTCTGCCTACTGAGGTTTAGGTAAATGAAAAGAATTCACCTCGTGTGACTTTTGATGGGTTTTGGAACCTCGTTCCAGGTTTTTAATCTAACTATTCAGACTGTTGGGCCACTTCCTTGAGGTTAATAGTTTCTCACATGAGGGTCTGTGTGATCTACAAGGAAATGGTATCCGCTAGAGGGTTGACAGAAAAAGGAACTTAGGGAAATGGGTTACAGAAAAAGGAACTTAGGGAAATGGGACAACTTTTGATGTAGGTTTATTTCTTGGTGTAGCTTTGAGCTTAAGTTGTTCTTTTATTTGTTATGCTAATTTTCTTGTTTGAATTGAGGGAATAAATATAATTTGACATGTCACAGTTCAAAGAAAACATGTAAGCTGCCTTGGAAGGTTTATGATTTGAATGTCATTTCAGGATGAATGTCGAGCGAAGATATTAAGTAGAAGTAGGCATTCGAGTCTAGAGAATACCTTCAATGCTATGAGGAATTTCATTGAGGCTTCAAAAGTTGACGAAAGTTTGATAATTAAGCTTGTTCTTCATGGTAGATGTCGAGTCCTGAGAAGCCTTTCTATTTATATATAGAGATAATTGGAAGAGTCATGTAAAAGGAACTGTACAGGATGCTGGCAAACTTATTGAGTATGAATTATGAGACGTCTAAAGATTGGGCGATTGTTCAACAAATTTTGAGAAACTGGGTTTTGGTAAAGGAGAAATTGTGAGAATTTAGTTTGAGAAGGAGAAAGTGTAGGGATCTTGGAAGCATTTTGTGGCGGATAAAAGTGAAGCTTCGAAGTGCGTGTCATGGTTATGCACTTTTGCAGGAAAAAAGGGATATATGGTGCTGTAAGTTGTCTCCAAACTTTGTGGGTTTTTTTTTTGGGGGGGGGGGGGNATAGAGATGTTGGACTCTCCAGGAAAAAAGATTTTGTCTCCTGCTGAGCGAAATCTGTTTGTCTGAGTAGTGCTTTTTAAGCCTATTGGATGAATGATTGTTTCTTAGTCCTTACCACTTTTTTTTGGTTAGTAAATGGGGAAACATTTAAACTTTTATTTCTTTCCCGAATGAGATGCTTACTTTTCGGTCTCTCAAAATCTTTACAATTAATAGATATTGTGGATTTACGCATGATTTTAACAGATATTTTTACTCTTGTGGGTGAGTTACTGAAATTAAGTTGTCGACCTTTTCTGTCCGATTTTTCGTACTCAGAATTCTTATAATTAAGTAAATAATAGTGTGCTCTCTAGAGCAGCTTAAGCTTTTAAATGGTCTTGGGTTCGAGTCTCACCAGCCATTCATTATCAAAGGGAGTTTCGACGTGCTTGGCCATGAAAAAGAATCAGGGGCGTGTTGAAGAGAATAATTAAGTAAACAAAAATGTGCTCTTTTTAACAATTTAAACTTTTGGAGGAGATGACCACACATTTCAACACTTAGTAACTCAAAGTTGGATTTATTGGAATGTCCAACATTCTTTTTTAAGGATTTTGTTTTCAGTTCATGCTTTAAAGAAATTTTGTCTCTTATATTATAATTTTATGCATTATTCTGATTTACCCAATTTATCAGGAAAGTGAAAGTGAGTATGCAGCCAGATGTGGCTTCCGAAGAAATAGAAGGTTCAATGCCAAATCACAGCGTCAACGGTCCTCAGAAAGAATCCAAACTGGAACTCTTTGGCTTTGATTCTCTTGTAAATATTCTGGGTCTCAAGAGGTAAGAGGTAAACATTCTGTGGTCCTTTTCATTTTATTTACTTCTTGCCTACAAACCTTCTATCTTGTCGATTAAATAAATTAATGAACACGACACCAACTTGTTCCAGATTGAGGTGTGGTTGATTGGTTGGTTTAGCTTTGATTTCATTCTTCTCTCTCTCTCACGCACACACACACATACACTCACACTCACTCACTCACCTTTTCCCCTTAAGAACTGCCTAAAAACAGTAGTACTGTGAACAACATTGGAAGTACTAGAGCTTTTCTCTGGGGTATTTTTTGGCTTGGGGTTGATGTCTAATTGTGTAAGACTTGACACATGTCCTTATAGACTGATCATTTTTGTGTTATCAAAATTGATCATCTTGAACTTCAACTTTCCTTTTCAGTTTTTGATGCATGAATAGTATTATGGTTCTAATCAATCTTGCTATTTCAGCATGACAGGGGATCAAATTCAAGCGCCACCTAGTCCAAGAGATGGTGGGGATGTAACTATCACCCTTGAGCGGCCCAGGGTACTGTGATAGGTTCTTAATCATCCGTTCTGTTTCCTTAAAAGTTTCATGTCATGCCCCATTAACAATATGGTTTGGTTTAACGGAGGGGGAGACTGAAGAGAAAGGGGGAGGAAACCGTATTACTCTATTTCCATAAATTAATTATTTAACCTATCTACGGTGGTTTTTGTACAGCTGGAAGAGAAGTAAAAGACGTGCACCTTTCTGTTCATTTCTTGTGAGACTGAAAAAGTTGACATGGATGGGTGGCATACTCCATTTTTATCCTCTCTAACTTTTACCTCCTAACCAAAAGAGCGAAATATCATTCTCTTTTCTTTTAATCCAAACACGGAACGTGCTATCAGTGGAGATTCTCTCATGGGATTCTCCTTTCTTTGGAGAATCATTCCTTATTTTGGTTATCCTCTTTATGCCTTCCTCGGTCTCTTTTGGGGGAGCCAATGGGGTGTGGTTAAATATTTTTTTTTTTGGATCTTTGATTAAACGGTGAACAGTGGGCAAGAAGGTGGCTAAAGGGTAGACTGAAGGTTATAAGAAGACAAAAGTGTAGAAAAGCTTAGTTTAAAGTAAATGCATAGTAAGTCAATATATTGTTGACTAATATTCTTGATAAATCTTCATTGGACGTTCATATTTACTTTTAAACTAAGCTTCACCCTCTTACACCATTCCTAATTGTGACAAAAGTAGATAGAGTATAAACAGAATATTCAAAAGGTTAAAGCATGAGAGATCCTCAGTAAAATCTTTGTTGGATTTATTGGTGTTAATGAATTTGCTTTACTCACTATCTCAGTTTTACACATAAGCTACATGCAAGATAAAAGATAAATCTAATTGAGTAGTTGTGTTATTAATTGTCCAATATGTGGTAGAGTGAGTGTTCATGTATTCTTAACTGGCTACCTGAAATACAAATATCAACAGTTCAGGGCTGTCCTCTCTCCCCTTCTTTTCCAACTTCATTTTTTGAAGTTTGTCTACTGAGTTTTATTTCTGATCAGCATGGAAGAGTGTCTGGTGGATATTGTATTACACTTCTCCAATTGCCTGTTTGGTTTCTCCTACTTCTTCTCTTGTTTTATTATTAAATTCTCACAATTATGGACCTTCACTTGTGCATTCATCAGAACATGCACTTTTCAGATTTGAAATGTTTAGACATAGATCATAACTTGCAGCTTGCATGTCGTACTGAATTTAATTCTGTAACGATGGGTTGATCAATGAAGCTTTGAATGCTTTTTTAATAGTCTCTTTTTTGTGAATATTGTTGAAGCCTACTGCTGTCAAGTCTGGGACATTGATGGGAGTCTTCGTGCCATGCTTGCAAAATATTATGGGAATCATCTATTATATTAGATTTTCTTGGTAAGTTGCATCATATCCAATCTATTACGTGTTCTCTTGGGAATTGTTTGTGGTCAAGTTTTATAATACTTTAGCTATCAAAAGGTGATCAAGTCTCGGCTCCTTAAACTTGCATTTTAAAAACTGTGGTCAACATTCTGGATGTGAATAACTTCCTTTCATTTCCAATACTTCGGCATTCTGTTGTAACTCCTGGGTTTTATAAGTACCCCACACTAATTGTTATGTTGAGCGGGTAAATTATAACGCAGAATGATTCCTATAGTATAATTAAGTGATCTACTCACGTCAGAAGTATGTTTTGGTATTGATATTTCACAATGGTTCTGTGAGATACTCAAGGTGAGCTGATCTTCCTTCTATCTCTGGCATTCTTCTGATACAGCACTTCTTAGGTAGTGTAATCTAAGAAAGGAGGAAGATAAAAGATCTATGAATATAGGAGGAAGGAGTATAAAAGGAGGAAAGGGGAAGATGCACTGGGTGGGAGTGCTGATGACTGGGTGGGAGTGTTGATCAATTGATCTATTTTTGTTAGTCACGTGATATTCTTTTCCATTTGACATGCTGTGATATATTTGCTCTGTTTCCTTCTACTCTGTAGGATTGTTGGTATGGCTGGGATTGGTGAGTCGTTGTTGCTGGTTGCTTTCTGTGGATCTTGTACTTTCCTGACCACAATATCATTAAGTGCTATTGCTACCAATGGTGCCATGAAGGTGAAGAGGAATTTGATCGTTAGATAGAATGTAAATGAAGATAAAGGAGATAGCTTCTCTATTTTGCTTTCCTGTATTAGACACATGCACTTTCTTTATTTCCCAGTAACTTAGATGGTCAATAATGTCCTTGATTTGTTTTCTCTAAATTAGGGTGGAGGACCTTACTATCTCATTGGTCGTGCTTTGGGTCCAGAAGTTGGTGTTAGCATTGGGCTGTGTTTTTTCCTGGGAAATGCAGTTGCTGGAGCAATGTGAGTATACATCGCTTTCATCATTTGACACTAGCAAATGAGGTTACAATGCTTTTAACACTATCTTTAACAGTTTGAGCTGATGCTCTCTGGCTGTGACATGCCTGTCTTCTAGGTATGTATTGGGAGCTGTGGAAACCTTCTTAAATGCTGTACCAGCTGCTGGTATTTTTAAAGGTATTTTTTGAGTGAGATTGTCACACTCGATTTATTGTTTAGAATTTAGTATTTCAAGAAGACTGCAGATCATGTTTTCGCTATGAGTGCTCCTTGGATCTTGGCTTTCTTTGATAGGAGTAATTCTATTTTGGGTCTACTTGTATGGGCAAGCTTGAATGTTTGATGATCATCTGCTCTCTTCCTTGGCATTATGCTTCATACATTCAATGAGTACTTTTTGGTTGATTCTTTACTAGGTAATACACTATTTTGTCAGCTTACTTGTATTGCTGAATTTTACTGTCATATATGCAGAAACTGTCACAAAAGTTAATGGTACAGCTATTGCGGAGCCCATTACAAGGCCAAGTTTGCACGATCTGCAAATTTATGGGATTGTCGTGACTATTCTTCTCTGCTTCATAGTTTTTGGTGGTGTAAAAATGATTAATCGTGTCGCACCGGCATTCCTTGTACCTGTTGTATTCTCATTGATCTGCATATTCTCTGGCATCCTTTTGGCAAGGCATGATCGTCCCGCAGGTTTATGTTGTCTATGCCTTCTTTTCTTTAATTTTTTGAAAGCTTTGCAAAGTGTTCTGCTGCTTAGACATAGTATGTTACACACTTAAAATTAAAATATATATAAGAAAAAATGCTTGCTTGATGGTGTACGGTTTTCCCTTGTCACTCTTTCTTAGTAGAAAGCTGTCAACCAATTCATATGGTTCTGGCCCTTGAGAAGAGTGGAGGCTTATTGCTATTGCTAAGCTGGTCTGTAATAGTCAATCTGAATTTGATAAGTCAACATCTGCAATTTTCAGCATTTTATATTGCTTCATGGTGGCCATTACTATTTCCTTGATGTATTTAGCTTCCTTCGTCCTTCGTTTAGGACATTCTAAATTTACAGTTAGGTTTGATGTATACTACTCGTAGGACGTGCTTCTTTGCTTTGAATAATGTATATCGTTGTCCTGATTAAAGAGGTCACTATGCTGCCACAACTGCAAACCAGGAGTCTTGACTGGCAGTCTGGCACTTGGTGGGCCTGTCCACCAAGCGAACCAGCTATATCTGAGCTTCTTACTGTAACTAGATACATGCATAGAATAGGCAGAAAACTGAATAAATCACACTTTATATAACTAGAAATAACCCATAAGTCCTATATCATCCATAATCTGACAAGATCTGTAGTTCAACTAAACACAACCAAAATGCTAATACAGAGTTCATGAAGCTGACTATGAGTTCTCAACTCTTACAACTGAAAATTGTCAAAAGTATCATTAAATAAACTGTAGCTAAGCACCCATGATGGAACAATGGGTTGACCAACAGGCTGGAATGGTAGCTGCTACTCCTAAGCTACCAGATCTACCTTTAACTCTGTAAGATGATAGGTGAGTGGTGAGTCCACTAACCCAGTGAATAGATAAAATCCATAATTGTTGGGACACGAAGTTTATAAAATAAATCATATGCTATCATCTTTATATGAGATTAAGTACGAATATAATCTTCTATATCTGTAAACAAACTGCTGTCTGATGTTGTGTATATACTGCTCATCTCTTATCTAAATTTATTGCGAGTATATGCATATATTATCTTAATATCGTCAATCTACACACACCCACACACACATACACACAAGATTACCGGAATCTGAAAACCATGCTCACCATGAATGCTGTTACAGAGGTTTGAATTCAACCTGATTAATTAGGTATCCATGCGCATCGTGTGTACATTATTTTAGGGGGTTTGATACCACCCTTGTTAGCCAGTAGTACTTGCACAATCTAAATCTGGCTCCTAATCTAATGCTGTCACATTGTACCTTTTACCAGCTTAATAAATACTTTTATCTTACAAAAAAAAAAAAACTAATGCTGCCACGAGTGTAACGTTATGTGATGACGCCTTACGAGGAGACGATATCAACTCGAATCTTTTGAGCTTTCTCCGAAAATTTACTTTCTCATCTTAAGCTTATAGTTTAACAGAAAAGCGTAATATCTCGAAACTCATAGAAGAATCTCAATTATTTTTTTCCAAAAAATGGGTAACATGTATATATAAATCATCAGCACAAAGATTGTGCTGGAAGCCAAAATGAGAAGGTTACATCAGTTCATTAGACGAGAAAGAGAAAAAAAACCCAAAGGTCCTTCTTCTTCTTACAAGGAATCTAACACATCTAGAGTTGCCTCGGATCCTCTATGTATTCAGATTTACACCAAAAACTGAAAAGAAGTATACAATTCATCTTGATTTTCTGTAAAGGGCTGCTTCTATCTTCAAAACATCTTGAATTCCTCTCCTTCCATATTGTCCACCAAATGCTTGCTGGGACAATTTTCCATCTCTCTTTGTTCATGGTACAGTTTCCTCCTTTGTTCCAGCATGTCAACACATCAGAGGTTCTTTCAGGCATTACCCATCTGATTCCTCTGAGATTAATGAATAAGTCCCATAGCTGGCTAGCCTGGCTAGTAATTCTACAATGTAAAAACAGATGGTTGATTATCTCTGCTTCCTGCCCATACAAGTAGCATTTTGAACAGAGTTGGAATCCTCCTTATGAGATTATCCTGAGTCAAAACAGCTTCTCTTGCTACTAACCAAGTGAAACAGGCCACCTTGTATGGCACCTTGACTTTCAAGATATGTTTCCAGGGCATAAATGTGAGCTGAGATCCTACCTGGTTTAGATCTTTGTAAGCTGAGCTAATTGTATAGTTGCCACTACAATGGCTTTGCCATCTAAGTGTATCTTCTCCCTCATGCAGCCCATTGCTCTGTTCTAAAGTACTAAAAAACTCTGTTGTCCTTGGTATTTCCCAATCTTGAAGTAATCTTCTGAAAGTTGGATTCCATCCGTGTGTGGACCAAACCTCCTGTAAAGTGGCCCCCTGTTGTAGACTCAAACCATGTAGATCAGGGAACATCACCATTAGACAGTCATTTCCCGAACAATTATCCTCCCAGAACAAATAATTTATGCAGCCCATTGCTCTGTTCTGAAGTTAGTGAAGGTTCTCAAATAATTTATCTTACAACATTGTGTAATAGTTAAATCATTCTTTCCCAAATAAATTGAATAAATTAGAATATGCATTATATCTAAGTATAGTTTCAATGTAGCTTCCAATTCATATGCTGAAGCCAAAAACATGTCAACACAAGCATTTACCTGTGCCCGCACATGTAACGTTGCGGTAGAGCCATAATGGACTTGGGCGTTATCTTGATTATACTTGATAATTTGAAATCTCATTTTTGTTTATATAAACATGCACACTTTAGTAAAATGATGCTAGTTACTGGAAAATGCCAAATACAGGAAAGTTACTACTCATTGTAGATCGTTAACATTGTTAATACTCGATCTCACAACTTGCTTCTAACAAAAATCTGAAGAAATTTTTTGTGGTTTTCTCAGCAAATTTGAATGCTTTAAGAGCTAAAGAGTAGGCAAGGAGTTAGCTAAGTGGGCAATGAATTATCTAGTGAGTTGAGCTAAGGTGGGCAGCGAAGTATATGATGAGAATCCTAAGTTGCTCAGACACGGGTGCGGATCTAGAGGTCGGATCCTTCAAGATGTAAATTCTAAGATTCGGGGATATGGATCCTTTTGGGGAATCAAATTGTATTTCGTCTGGTATTTTTCTGTCCGTCGTGGTCAAAGTACCCAAAATTGTTTGACCAGATCCGGTATGGATCCCATACCCAAACCCATACTAGTGTTGTGTCGACACGGGTGCAGTACCTAAACTGCCGTGTCGAAGCAACTTAGTGAGAATCTAATGTGAGGTTCCTGGTTTGAATGTTCCCCTTGTTCTAACTAGTTAAGGCAACTAGACTTAGGGTTTCTAGAAGTCCTTCACACTAAGTAAAGTAATACTAAAGTTCCTTTTGCAATTTGGCCATTAACTAAACTTATTTTTCATTATTATTATTATTATTATTATCGTTATCTTTATTGTTATTGTTGTTGTTGTTGTTGTTATTATTAATTTATTACTGCTACTTCATGCACCTCACTCACTCTTTATGCATGTTTGAAAAAGTAAAAAGTTCAAGAACATAATTTACCAAATTCTTATTGTCAATCTAATCTTAGAAGAGCACATTTATCGTGCCATTATCTTCCAAGTTAGAAAAAAGGTACATATCATTTTTTTTCTTGTAAGAAACCAAAAGAAAGAAAAAAAAAAGATTATTTTTCTCGCAGTTACTTAATATCTCATCCTCGGAGTTCAAAACGTTGCCTCAACGATACTTAAAGCACGCGTGCGGCAAGATATTACATTTGCTTTCTTGTATATCCTGGTTACAACTTTGCACACATTTGAGTATGTCCCAACTAATTGTTCAAATTGAGGCAGATTTCCTGTTCAATTGCGAAAGCATGTAGTGCTCCTTTCCAAGTGGAGTAACTAGATAAAAACAAGGACATGCAAAGGGAATGGAGGAACTAGACTTTCTAAAATGAAGGCCTGGATCTTCATTTGCTAATTTCTTTATTTGCTTTATGGGGTGGATTCTATTGTCATAAGTTTCTGAGAGTTAGACAAAATTTAAAAGTTCTCTATGCTTTACTTCATGATCATTTTAAGAGGAAGCAGAGGTATAGGCTATAGCTTCCATCCTAGTATGCAAACTGCTCATGAAACTTTATCCTGATTTATATTTAAACATAATTTCCTTTTGTTTGAATATATAATGGAGGTCTCATTACTTTGTGTTGCTATGCATGATACAGTTGGAATCACGGGGTTGAGTTCGGAATCTTTCAAGGAGAACTGGGGTCCTGCTTATCAGAGGACTAACAATGCTGGAATTCCAGATCCTAATGGAAAAATATACTGGAATTTCAAGTAAGACATGCAAATATTTGCTTGCTTCTCTCTCTTTCTCATGCGTGCTTGTTTATTATGCATGATATTTTTTCATTATGCATGATACTTTTGCCAGTAATAAGTCCATTCTTCTTTCTGCCTTTTACTTCGTGATGCATAATTTCAAAGTGTGTTAAATTGGGTCTTAACATTTGTTTGTTTCTCCATGTAAGTACGTTGGTAGGTCTCTTTTTTCCAGCTGTGACTGGAATCATGGCAGGTTCAAACCGTTCAGCATCACTAAAGGATACTCAACGTTCGATTCCTGTTGGTACATTAGCAGCAACTTTGACAACTAGCGGTTTATATCTAGTTTCAGTGCTATTCTTTGGGTCCGTTGCAACTCGAGATAAGCTTCTGACTGACAGGTACATCTAAATTACATGCTAAATGAAATACAGTGGTCTGAGTGGCATGCTTTGTAAATTTAGACTCAATTATGTTGATGTACACAATTACTTCCCAAATTTTGAGTAGGTGGTGGTGAAGTGGGTCAACAAACTGTATGTAGCGGAAGATCAAGAATACCAACTCTCAAGACTTCCTTTTCGGAAAGTTGATCTGTGGAATAATGAAGAACGCTCTTTATTTATTTCAAATTTCAGTTACATGGCTGGATCTGGATGTGATTCATTAAGACCTATACTTCTCTGTATTTGGTGTTATACTCTGTTTTTTTTGGGGGTGGGGGGTGGGGTTGTAGAGGTAAGGTTGGAGGTGGGAAAGCAAATGAGGAAGGATAAATGTGTCCATTTGTTTAGGAAGTGAAAGAGGAGTGGCAGTAAAAGTGGAAGGGTGTAACCCTCCTGAATTTATCTTCAACTTTCCAAAAACTGGGGAGAAGGAGAAGAAAAATCTCTTTTACTTCCCTTTTAATATTACCAAGGGGAAGAATAGATAAAGTATACCAGTCTTCCCCCCTCTCCTTCCTTGAATCCAACATATTGCGAGTTTGGGATGGACCAGCGTTCCTTTTCCTTGTGGTGCCTAGTTCTAAGGTTCTGTGATAACTCATCAATAGATATGCCATGTTATTGCAAGAATTTGTTGTATTGGTCTTGTTCGTTTTGATGTTGAGGATAGTTCTTTTCCCCCTTTTTATCAATTATTATCATGAGAAAAGTTAATTAAATGGCACAAGTCAACACCATTTTGGGTACTTACTTCAAACATGGTAATTACTCCCCAACCCCCCCGCAAAAAAAAAAAAATCACTTCATATCTTTGTTTAATGACTTGTATTTGACCCACAAGCCAATAACTTTTTATGAAAGAGATTATTTCATTGTATTAAATGGTATTTCATAATCTATTTACAGTGCCTGGCTAATGTTTTCGTGCAGGTTGTTGACTGCTACAATTGCTTGGCCATTTCCAGCAATTGTTTATATCGGTATCATCCTTTCAACATTGGGAGCAGCCCTTCAAAGCTTGACTGGTGCACCACGTCTCCTTGCTGCGATTGCAAATGATGATATTCTACCAGTTCTCAACTATTTTAAAGTGGTAGATGGAAGTGAGCCTCATGTGGCTACTTTCTTCACTGCCTTCATCTGTATTGGATGTGTTGTAATTGGGAATCTGGATCTTATTTCACCAACTATAACAATGTTTTACCTCCTATGCTATGCTGGTGTGAACTTATCCTGCTTCCTTCTAGATCTGTTGGATGCTCCCAGCTGGCGACCTCGGTGGAAATTCCACCACTGGAGTTTCTCTCTTGTTGGAGCATTACTTTGTATAGGTATTTTCTTCTGCTTTTTGCTGTTGGACAACTGGTTTTATCTCTCTGTTTTAGTTGATACGGGTGGTAATAAACAAATTTTCTATGTTCATCATAATATTCACTTCATATTCCCAAGAAAACCATCATCTTGGTGCAACCGTTACAGATTAGTGAGTGTCGAGGAGTTTGAAACTTCCGTAGTTTGACTTGAGGACCTTTAATTATCAATATATTGCATCTCCCAATACGTGCCGCAAATTCTTTAGCCTATTTCTGATAGAATTTGGTAATATTTTCCAGGGTAGTTTTTCGTTAGTCTGATTTTATATTTGTGAAGAAATGGATCTTGGCCTAACTCAACCCAAGATTGAACAATTGGAGCATGAATAACATAACATGGGGTCCAACATTGAGAAACACAACAACAGGGATCAACGGGTCTGGTTCCGATACATTGTGAAGAAATGGACCTCGGGCCTACCCAACCCCAAAAGCTAGCTGATGATGGAAGGATTGTCCAATATCATATAAAAAGACTACAACCCATTCCCTCAACCACTATGGGACTTGACAATATTCAGCTACTTTAGGCTTTTGTTACCAATTTTAATTTGATAGGTTGAAGGGTTGAATGTATTCTCTTTGATTTTTACTGCGTCTTCATAGAAACTACAATTAAAAAATTAAGAAGATAACTAAGAATGAATTACAATTATTTGGCAATATAAAAAAAAAAAAAGGGCAGCCCGGTGCACTAAGCTCCCGCTATGCGCGGGGTCCGGGGAAGGGCCGGACCACAAGGGTCTATTGTACGCAACCTTACTCTGCATTTTTGCAAGAGGCTGTTTCCACGGCTCGAACCCGTGACCTCCTGGTCACATGGCAGCAACTTTACCAGTTACGCCAAGGCTTCCCATCTATTTGACAATATAAGATTTGCAAAATATGTACTCAAAACTTTTTGCTTAATCTAAAAAGAAATCAGTTCAAGAGAAGAAGAAATAAAGGTTTAAAAAGATTACCAGAAACAAAAGAAGGATTTACCTTGTGGAAATGTGCTCCTGGTTGTTTTTTATGTTTCGACATGCCAATCTTGCTTGGCTAACTCTATGACATCTTTATTACATAAGTTGGCAATGGGATAGGTGACTATAACCAAACGTGTCATTAGTACTGTTTGCTGAGGCTTGTTCTTTTTTCTTTTCTAGGATTCCTTTCCAGTGTAGACAATCACATTAAATAGTAATTTTTTTTCTCTAATATTTGGAAGAGTGAGAATTTTGGTTTATGAAAGTACTGATGTCCAGATGTAGGATGGCCTCTTTCGTTGCCTGAATAGTGGTAATGATTCAGCACTGCTAATGAGTCCAATCTTTATCATCTCATCCTGGCCCTAAAGGAGTCGCATTTTAGACCACTCCCTCCCCCGCCCAAAAAACAAACAATAGAAAATAGCAAGACTATGGTAAAAGTACTATGCACAAGGTTCTATCCTATGTAGCACTTCCTCTGATCTACTCAGAGTCTTGGCTAAGCAAGGGTGCAAACCATATTATTTACCTAACCTTAATAGACTCTAAGTTTTTCAATCATTTGATCTCTTCCTGCATTTCAGAGTAATTGATGTTCTCTTTCTGCTGTTCCTTTTCAGTGATCATGTTTTTGATTTCTTGGGCATTCACTGTGGTATCACTAGCCTTAGCAAGCCTCATCTATTATTATGTGAGTATCAAGGGGAAAGCAGGAGACTGGGGTGATGGTTTCAAGAGTGCATATTTTCAGCTTGCTCTTCGTAGTTTACGATCTTTGGGAGGTATGTATTTGTCTATTTATGTATTTGTTTATTCATTTACATTTCTTGGCAAACAACATAAATCAGACCTTTTGTACTGTCCGTTCCTTGTCTTAAAACATCTGATTGCTCCTCTTATGTGTATTCTATAATTGTTTAAATGTTGAGAGAGAGAAATACAATTTGGGATTGCCTTTGCAGGATCACAGTTTCTTCAATTGTGACTGCTGATTTATCTAGCATTTGTCTATGTGCAAACATATTTTTCTTTTTCTTTTTTGGATCTTCTGTTGCTTTTCTTTTGGTTATTACAATTGAAGAAGGTATTAATTTCTTATTATAGTTCATTTGTTTCTTACACCAGTAATTTCTTTTACTGGGTCGTCGTCGTCGTCGTCGTTGTTGTTGTTGTTTCTTACACCATTAACCTTACTTACTGTTCTGCAACACTTATTTGTATGTCAGTGCCTTTCATAGACATTTTTATTCTGAAAAAGTGCATCAGATGGTTGACTGCCATATTCATTCAGAAAGATTTCATTTTTATGTTGCCTCACTCTTTTACCGAAGTTTGTTGCTCTTAACCACATTTCTTTTAAATCTGATTGGTGTCTGGATACTTCTCAATCTGCTTTGGTAACATTATGGCAAGTGGTCGGATGCAAGTCTAGGCAAGGGCGTTTGAAGCATGTCTTATTTCAATCCCTCCCATGTAGTTGAGATTATAAATTTATCTAGTTTCGATTTGGGTCTTGATTCCTCCCTCTTGGACAATGTGAATTTTGATTTTTGCAGTCATCCTCCTTAGACCATGTGAGTTTTATATCTGTCAAAGGATGATCGACAAGTTGATAATTGCTAATGAATACAGAAAACTTCTGCGTTTTCCTAGTATAAGCTGCTTTCTTATCCTTCAGGAACCTTATTGTATCAGATTACCGCCATATTCTATTAAGAACCTCTGTCTTTTTAGAACTGTCATTGATCCTTTCCGTTAGCACATATACTCCTCCAAACCCCACTCAATATGCTGCTTCTTGTATTCCTAAATCGTGATGCAATGGAATTCATTCCTATTTTGAACTCTATAATATCCATCTTTCGCTTATCCTACAAAAAGATAATCCCCTGTAATCCCTTAGGAGACTTCTGATAAAATTAGAACGATACAAAGACGATTAACATGACCGCTGCACAAGAATGACAAGCACAAGTTGAAAATGGTCCATTAAAGATAATCTCCAGCATCTCTGCTTGCTGAGAACTTCTCATATTCCGGCACTCTCCTTCCAACTGCATCATTTCTATCTCCATTAGTATAATGCAGATAATTCCTAACTTTGGCACATTCACTCTTCGCCGTCTGAATTTGACGGCAACTTCACACATCCTTGTCTATCTGTGGGTTCCTCTGGGAGGAGGAGGAGGAGGAACTGGATAGACTAGCCTGGCAGGAAAGTTTTCCTTACATAGCATCCCCATATGGCAGTTTCATCCCTGTCAATCTGGGGAGTTTCTTATGAGTTCAAAGGAAAGAAGAAGAAGCAGGAGGAAGCCCTCTACGTTAGCTTCCTCCATGTCAATTTGTGGAGTTTCTTTGTGAGTTCAAAGGAAGTCAATCTGTGGAATTTCTTGCGGGTTTACTGGAAACAAGAAGAATAAGGAGGAGGATTGCCCACGACCATTCAGGGAGACGTGGAATTTCTCAAAGTGCCTGTCGAATGTTGATCAAATTCGATACGGTACTGGTGTCATGTTGTGTCGACTCTGGTTGTCAGTAGTATTCGATCCTAGCAAAATAGAATTCCTCTATGTCAACTGCCTTCCCATTAGTCGTAATTGACACTGCTGCCATGGTATCCAGCGGTAACATCACTCTAGCCCCATTTCTCCCTCTCGCCTCTTCCCAACTCTTTCCCCGCTCCTTTTTCCTTCTACCACCACCTTCTCCCCTCTTCCTTTCATCTTGTCCTCCCTATCTCCGTCGGCCCTCTTCTCCTATATAACCATTGTGCAAAACTTTGGGTACATGCAAACTCTGTACCCTCGTTCTCCGCCTTCAACCACCGTCAATGCTGAATTTCTTTCCCCACTATTCACGTGGATCCTGACCCTGGACATGTCGAACACACTGCAGAATACATCGTCACATCCTCCCATATATGTCCCACATTGATGACCATTATCTTCTCTGCTTCTGGATAGGGGTATGATAATAGTGCTTTCGTGATGTTTTGAATATTACCAAGTGACTACAATGTCTAAGTTTTGGTTGAAATGAGTAGTATCAAATAAAAGTTGTGACACTTATAAGGAAAATCATGTCCCCCCATAAGCAATGAAAGTTATTTTCTTTCTTTTTTTTTTTCGATGGAAAATTTCTTTGGAGATAACATTTTCAACTATTCAAGGTAACCAAACGTGACAAAAGAATTTCAACGAGGAATACCCTTTTGGTGAAAATAATTTTTTTGGAGATAGCATATTCCACAATCCAAGAAACCAACTATGGAAAAATGATTTCATCAAGAAAATTACTCTTTTGGTGGAAAATAGTTTCCTTGCAGATAACATTTTCAACAATTCGAAATAATCAAACATGGGGAAAATGATTTCGTCAAGGAAACCATTTTCGTCGCAAAGCATTTTTCACGATATCAAACACTCCTAGGGATTGTCTCAAAATTCTCTTACATTTATTTTCGACAACGTACTCCTTAGCCCCACTTCTTGTTTTTACCTTAAAGGATTGTGATACCAAAGTCAAGAATTAGCTTTACTAATTAGTATAGATGTGCAAATTTCATTTGAATAAACTTTCATTTTAAATCAAAGTTTTTAGGTATTCTTTCTATACGAATTCCTCCTATATAATATAATTATGTTTTTGTTTTTATTATAAAGAAGATTTTAATTTTTTTTTGTTTATAGCAAGGCATGTTTCTTTAAATTAAGCCAATTTCTTTAACTTTGAGGGCATTTTTCCATATTAGGTACTTTTATCCAGGTAGAAATAATCTTAATTCACATTCTACACATGAAATAGTACATAGATTGTGGGAGAATTTGTGTAGGAAAGGAAGATGGTAACTGAATGTTGTATTAACAATTTGAGTCTTGTGCGAGGATTATCTTATTTTGATGTTGGAATTCAAATGGGTCCTTAAAGATTCTTATACCTATTAAAAGTTAACTTATCCATTCTATTGGCTTTGTTACCCCGGCTAAATTTCTGGTAAATTAACCGTACGAACTGGATAAGAAAAACAAAGAGAAGATACAGAAAGTTGAAGCTGCTGAATTTGAGTTATAATTCTGACTCCTCTTGTTCTATTTCAAACGTGGATGACAAATCTTGTTTGGAGGTGATGAGAATTATTCTGGAAGTTTTCGAAGCTAACTGAAACTTGTTTGGTGGTCATACAAATTTTATTTAGCTAATTAGTGGAGCGCACTCCAGTTAATTTCTAGCTCAATCAAAAAGTTCAATTTAGTTATTTGGTTGGTCCTAGTAGGATTTTCAGTTATTGTTTTTGGCATCATGAATTATATTTTTGTGTAATCAGGAGATCAAACTTAAGAGAAGTTTCAATTTTTAAATGGATCTAATTGAGTTATCTTTTAGCAAATTGTCTGTAACCGTGTAAATAGTTTGTAATCCTATTGCTGCAAAGGATGGGTGTAATGGAAATATGAAACTTGAAGTATAATTCGCTTATTTCATTGCAATATAAGCATTAGTAAAATAAGTAATAATTTGAAGCACAGAGAAACACGGGATTATATGTTTTCTCCTGTTCACTAGGCATCATATAGTAGAACCATCATCCTTTAGAATTTGCATCTTTATTGTTGGCTTGGCAATAACTTCGATTTTCTGAAGAATGAAAAGGTTATACTGTGATCTTATATATTGGCTGTAGACCTCCAAAATGACCTGCAATAAACATCCAATTGTACATGCAGCAAGTCAGGTACATCCCAAAAATTGGTACCCTATCCCTCTCATATTTTGTCGTCCGTGGGGCAAGCTTCCAGAAAATGTACCTTGCCATCCTAAGCTTGCAGACTTTGCCAACTGTATGAAGAAAAAAGGAAGAGGAATGTCCATCTTTATTTCTATTATAGATGGAGACTATCATGAACGTGCTGAGGATGCCAAGACAGCTTGCAGGCAGCTAAGCACGTATATCGATTACAAGCAATGTGAAGGTGTAGCAGAAATAGTTGTTGCTCCCAACATGTCAGAGGGCTTTAGAGGCATTGTTCAGACTATGGGCCTTGGGAATCTCAAGCCAAACATAATTGTTATGCGGTACCCTGAGATATGGCGGCGTGAAAATTTAACTGAAATTCCTGCTACCTTTGTTGGAATAATAAATGACTGCATTGTTGCAAACAAGGCAGTAGTTATTGTAAAGGGTCTCGATGAATGGCCTAATGAGTATCAAAGACAGTATGGTACCATTGATTTATACTGGATAGTGAGAGATGGTGGTCTTATGCTGCTGCTCTCTCAACTGCTTCTCACAAAAGAGAGCTTTGAGGGCTGTAAGATTCAGGTATTCTGCATTGCCGAGGAAGACTCTGATGCAGAGGGACTCAAGGCTGATGTAAAAAAGTTTCTTTATGACCTCCGGATGCAAGCTGAAGTGATTGTCATTTCCATGAAGTCATGGGAAGGCCAAGGGGAGCAGCAAGAATCCATTGAAGCATTTAGTGCTGCTCAGTGCAGAATAGCTAGTTATCTGGGAGAGATGAAAGAGAGAGCGCAGAGGGACAAGAGTCCTTTGATGGCTGATGGAAAGCCAGTGGTTGTCAACGAGCAACAAGTCGAGAAATTCCTCTACACCACTTTGAAGCTGAATTCGACAATTCTAAAATACTCGAGGATGGCTGCAGTTGTGTTTGTAAGTCTACCTCCTCCTCCTGCCAATCATCCAGCATTCTTCTACATGGAATACATGGACCTGTTGGTTGAAAATGTACCTAGGCTCTTGATAGTTCGTGGATATCGTAGAGATGTTGTCACTTTGTTTACATAGTTGGTTCTGTTAATCTTCCCTTTTACCTCCCCTCTATTTGTTGCTTTATTTCAATGGTTTCAATTCAATTCGTTACCTTTTCTTCCTTTTTTTTCCTTCTTTTTTCTCCTCGAGGTGGGTGTACAATATAGTTTTTGTAATCATTGATTCTTATTAATAGGATATTTGAAGAAAGAAAATTTTGTTATTGATGAATCTCAAGCTGATGATTAGTCTTTTAGAATACGTTGAGATAGAAAATTTTGCTATCTGATGAATCTCAAGATGATTAAAGTACGTTGTTCTATGATGACTATCAGCTACCTTGCAATTCTTGCTTAAATTTAATCATATCTTGCCTCAATCTAGCATAGTTGTCTTGCAGTCCATGACTTATTTACCTTTTGGACAGATTTTATTAAGGTGCTTTGCAACTCTCATTTTGCCTTTTTAATGGGGTATTTCAGTTGCGATGCTCAAAATAATGATAATTGTTGGACAAAGTTCAATCTATTTTGCTTAAAATTAATTTAAATAAATGTAAATAAATAAATAAAAAAAGAGAAAAGGATCTAAATTTGTCCCTGTATTTTTGCGAAAAGGTCTAATTTTACCCTTCATTAGAAGTTTGGCTAAGCAATGCGGCCCGAAAATGCCCCTAGTCACTTAACGGAGGGGAGACGGTTGAGCTAGACTTTCAAGCATAACGGCTAATTTGGACCTTTTCCTTATTATTATTAACTAGTCTTCGGGTACGCGCTTTGCGCGTGTACCTACATTAATGAATACACAAATTTTAAAAATTGCATACATATTATTAGATAATTTGTTTGAGTTATAAAATATAATTTAAGATTTCTTTAAAATAATAAATATTATTCTCATTTAGTTAGCTTAACAAATGAAGGAATTTTATTTAGATGCCTTATCGTTATTTTTTAGAGACTTATATCGAAACTTATGAAAATTGTTAATATTTATAATTCTTTAGAGATTTATCAAATAACACAAATTAAAAGGATTCCAAAAGCGGATCCGATAGGCCTCAGAGGAGAGGGGCTCCAAAAGTGGATGCGATCAGGCAATGGCAGCTTTGAAGGGAGAGTTGAGCGGAACCAGGCATAAGTAGCAACAATTGCTATTGATAGTTCCCGGACAAAAAATGGGGGGAAGGGCAAAGGAAAGAGCGATGGAAAACCTATCTTTCTACTTTTTCTTTCTCGTCTGTGTGATGACCCAAAATGTCATCTTTAAATTTAATGAGTAATTCTGTATTCTAAGACCTCGAAAAGTACCATTTATTATTTTTCGACTTGCGTGCGCAGTCCGCACAATTTTCCGAAAAGTTTTTATGTGAAAAAATAGATTAAAATGTGAAATAGAGCTTTAAAACTCAACTGAGTTGACTTTGGTCAATATTTTGAGCAAACGGACAACGGATCAGTATTTTAACAATTCCGGTAGGTCCGTATCGTGATTTGGGACTTGGGCGTATGCCTGGAATCGAATTCCGAGGTCCCTAGCCCGAGATATGGAATTTTGATAAAATATTAAAAGCTTGAAAGCTTAATGATTTTTAAGAAATTTCTCATGCTGGATTTATTGACCCCGGATCCGTATTTTAGTTTCGGAGCCCGATAAAGATCCACAATAATATTTATGACTTGTCTTCCGAATTTGATGAGAATCGGAGTTGATTTGACGTGATTCGGACGTCCGGATGTAAAAATATAAGTTATAAAGTTTTCTTGAAAATTTCCTTTGATTTGGTGTCCGATTCGTAGTTTTTGGTATTATTTTGACGATTTAATTGCGCAAGCAAGTTCGTATGATGTTTTAGGACTGGGGTGCATGTTTGGTTTGGAGCCCCGAGGGCTCGGGTTAGTTTCGGGTGATTAACGGACTATTTTTGGACTTGGAAAAAACTGCAGAAATCTGCTTCTAGTATCCTTCTTCGCAGAGGGGGCTCGCGTTCGGGAAGTAGAAACTGGAGGCAGGTAAAAATTACTCTTCGCGTTCGCGAAGGCTTGAGGTGCAAAGCTTCGCGTTCGCGATCGAAGCCTCGCGTTCGCGAAGGAAAAGAGGCTAACCAGGAAATTGCCTTCGCGTTCGCGAAGGGCAGCTTGCGTTTGCGAAGGCCAAGCCAGGCAAGTTTCGAGTTCGCGAAGTAGCCCTCGCGTTCGCGAAGAGTAAAATTGAGCAGCACAAATTTTGTGCTTCGCGAACGCGAGGCACTGACCGCGTTCGCGAAGGGTAAAAATCCCAGAAACAGAACTTAAGTTCTGGAAATGGGGTTTCGACCCATTTCCAATAATTTCTAATTTTTGAGCTCGGGTAAGGCGATTCTTGGGCGATTTTCACAAGAAAACATTGGGGTAAGTGTTCCTTATCCTATATTGATTATATTTCATGATTTTATACTCATTTATATCATGAATCCGTGAATTTATGGAAGAAAGATTAGATTTTTATAAAATCTTTCAAAAATGAAAATTTAAGATTTGAAGGTCCATTTGACATCGGAATTTGATAAATTTTGTATGGTTGGACTCGTCTCGGAACGGGTGTTTGAATTTCGTAAGTTTTTTCGAGATTTAAGATGTGGGTCCCACTGTCGAATATTTTAATAAATTTCAGATTTTTATCCGGAAAATTAGTAAATTCATATGGAATTACTTCCTATAATTTGTATTGAATATATCGAATTATTTATGAATAGATTTGAAGCTTTTGGAGACAAATTTAAAAGGAAAAGTTGTGGTCGAATAATTGATTGGAATTTGCAAAGCGAGGTAAGTGTCGTGGTTAACCTTGACTTGAGGGAATAGAACCCTTAAACTATTTGTTATGTGAAATGCATGTGAACGACGTATAGGTGAGGTGACGAGTGTCTATACGTCGTCAAATTAATTATTTTCATAATTACTTGAAAAATCATAAATCGTTTTAAATCATGAATTAATTATTATAATAATTGTTTCTCTCCTATTCTTTGTCAAATATTAATTTTTGAATTCTTGCATTAATTGTTACATGCTATTTGAATTATGTGTCTTAATTATTATTTGACATTTAGCATATTAAATATTAAACTGCCTATTTCCTCCTGATTTCCATAATAATTTGCTATTTGTCATTGTTTGTTTCATAATTAAATCATAATTATTGTATGCTTGTTGTCTTATAATTTTATATTAATTATTGCTTTTATTGGAAATATTTCTTCTATAAGAGTTGGTAAATGGATATATTGGAGGATCGGGTTGCACGCCGCAACAGACTTATTAAAAGTCCATTTTGGAGGATCGGGTTGCACG